TACACCTTATCACAGGCAAAGCAGATGCCGATGCGATGCGTATGTCCAGCGCCATGGCGGAATTCATGCAGGCCACCTATGAGCACGATGTCGCACCATCGATTTGGCGTATCATAAAGACGCCCAGTTTTAAACGACTTATGCGCTTGCATGACGACTTGACAATGATCACCAGGAAATACATTGATAAGGCGCTGGAGCGCATCGAAGCGGAGGGGAGAAAGGAGGCGGTAAGTGTATTGGAAAAGCTTTTGCGCGTCGATAAGAATATAGCTGTTGTGATGGCAATTGATATGCTGTTTGGCGGCTTGGACACGGTAATAAAATGTTTATTTGTACCAAAAAAAAAAAAAATATGTAAATATTTACGTTTTATTATATTTACAGACATCTTCCACAGTCATAAATGCCCTTTTTTTACTTGCGAAAAATCCGGAAAAACAGAATATATTGCGAGAAGAGTTGCGTACACTCCTCCCAAATGTCGATACTCCGCTGGTGGCACAGAATTTACAAAATATGCCCTATTTGCGTGCTTGCATCAAAGAATCGATGCGCATAACGCCAATCGTAAGTGGCACAATGCGTGCAACTGGTCGCGATTTGGTACTCTCTGGTTATAGAGTGCCAAAAGACATTGGCGTACATATGAGAAATATGGAATTGTGCAACTCGGATACGTTCTTTGCACGTTGTAGTGAATACCTGCCTGAGCGTTGGTTGAAAACACCGAAAAATGTGTCGAGTGCAAACGATGCAGCCAAGATGCAGAATCCATTCGTTTATTTGCCTTTCGGTTTCGGTCCACGCACTTGCGCCGGCAGGCGCTTGGCTGATTTGGAAATGGAAGTCTTGTTGGCACGTTTGTTGCGCAAATATAAGATTACTTGGACTGATGAGAAAAATGATTTGGAGTATAAAAGCAATTTGATACTGACGCCATGTGGGGAAATGAAATTCAAATTTGAAGAGGTTGATTAGGATATGTGAAGGTTATACGAATACTTGCGGTTAGATTTCGATGGTTAAAGATCTTTAGTTATAGAAACAAATAATAAAAATATTTAAATTATAACTGAGTTGTTTTATTGGAAAGCAATTATTTAAAACATTGCGGATAAATACGAGTATAAGTATGTATGTACATCTTTAATCTCTGTCATCTGGCCGTCGCTCCCATAATAAACCCACTGTCAAAGTTAAAGTTCAGTCACTTTGAGGAGGCGATACACTTAGCCCAATAAGCCTTTGTCGTACTATTCGAACGGCTAATTTCGTAACTGTCCGGCAGCGCTTAGATCGCCAGACAGTCGAAGAACTAAGTGGAGCTGTGGACATTAATAAAGATGGAATGAACAGCTTTTTCTCTTATCGAAGTTAGAACAGATTGGTCGAGTTAGCATCTTTTGATCCAAAAGTATTGTGTAAGCTATAATTTACTATTCCTTCCAAATTTGGTTGCCATACTATTTCCTAATACGTCTCTATGATGTGACGGCCGGACTATATATGTATGTATGTAGGTAGCAAACTCAGTAGCTAGCCAATTAAAGTTGTAAATTTTCTACAAAAAAGAATACTTATAGCTCAGTTAGGCTTACTTTGTACTGTACTACATAGCATGTCATTTTTGCATAGAAATAAAAAACCAATAGACTTCTACATATGCAAGGCTGTGCGTTGGGTAAACGCTTACACGCAAAGCTCATTTAACACATACACATGCATAACTAAGTCATTAAATAAAGCTAAAAATAAACATTAGATACCCGACGCAAGTATTAAATATAGTGTTTTTCACCTTTCCGAAAACTACCGCTACATTTTATCCCTATTTCAAATATCTTCGATAAACTTGATACACTTATGTAATTATATGTGGGCGGTATCAAGCCCATTTTCCAAAATTTCATAATAATGTTACTTCTTTTCAAGTTTCCAGTTGAAACTATAATGGTGCATTTACATGGTATGAATCTGTTTATAAGCCGTATGAATTTTCCTATAAAAGAAGCACCAACTCTATGAAGAAATGAATGAAAGCGATATATATTTAACAATTTTGACTTGTATACTAGACGATATTTTTTTTGTAAACAACAAATAAAAAAAATTTATTTTGTGCTAGCTTCGAAACATTGTATAGGCTTACAAGTATGGAAAGCGCCATTTTGTTTGTTTACATTTGAAAACAGCTGAGATCACCTGATTTTCAATTCTCTCATTCTCCGCACAGAGTTACATTCAAGTTTCAGAAAAAACTTTAAAATGTAAATTGAGAAATATTTTAGAAAAATGTGTTTTTATTTATTTGCATTCAATAAAAAAGAAATTAAAAATGCGTGCCAAGTCTTGCATTTCCAATAATAACGATAAATGTGTACGTTCCAGGCAATAATTTAAAATATTTGTGAAACTTATCGTTTTGCGCTAAAATACAACAATGTGTGTAAAATTCGTTGTCATTGCTTCTGTTTTGAATATCATATTCGTGCCTCCCGGTGGAAAAAATAGGTAAATTTGCATTTATTTTCAAGAAAACATATCAGTTAAAACATATTTCTTTCCAGAGCGACATACGGACAAGTAAGATGATAAATTTGTATGATGAATATCGCGGAAAAACTTTTGTATAAAAATTTATATTCTAATTTGCATTTGAATTATGATATCAACAGGGATGATTTGGGACGTATTTTTTGAAGACAATTTTCTCTATCTAATTTCTAAATCTTGAGTTTGTTGATTTATTTTAGAATTAAAAAAGGTAGTTTATATTAAAAAATATATTTACACTAGCGGTATGTAAATTACTTTTATTCCAAATTGAAACGATTTTAATGAATATTCATGGTTACCATTAATAGTAGTATGACAGTTAGATCTAAATGCATATTTGACAAGAAAGATAGAATACAATAGAATGCGCCGTCCTGGCGGCGATGACATATCTGTACAAAAAGTAATAAAAGTCGAATTGGATGTTGAAAGAAAATGTGAGAACAGCAAATTTTCTTAATAATAAATTTTTCGATAAGGAACGTGTTTTGATTGTGCTAATTTGTAATAGCCTTATTCATAAACAATAAAGTAACTTAAAAAAGGCTTATAAATTGAAAAATGTTTGTAAACGGCAATTTAAAAAGCTTTTTAAAATTTTTATTTTTTATTAATAAGGCAATAAAATTATGTGATTTACAATAGCGGTATTCTCTGAGTCTTGCAAAGCCCTTGCACGGTGCACGGATTGCACGGTTTGCAAAGCTGTCCCATACGAAAACCGGTTTTAACCGTGCAATCTGTGCACCATGCAAGGGCTTTGCAAGACTCAGAGAATACCCCTAATAACTTTTAACAAAGGAAATACGAAATAAGGTGATTTTTGCGGAAGTGGGTATTAGTGAATTTCAGTGCATTTAAAGTTTCTGAGGTTTCGTTTACTTTTAGATCAGAATTGTCAAAATTGAGAAATTCAGAAATTCAAAGTAGCGATACAATAATCATAGAAAAGAAGATTGCGCCCTGCTGTGATGATAAGTAAATTTACCACAATGAGGAAGAATATAACAATTAAGTGAAAAAATTTTATTTTTACAAATTTAGTGAGCAGTAACGCGTTTCAAGAACGATATTTCAGACAAATCGTTAAGGAACAACTATTTTTCCTTCCCGTCTGCTTTGGTTTTGGCAAAAAAGTTGATAAGCTCCTGCCGGCGATCAAGTCATTTCAACCATAAAATAATATTATTTTCAAGAACCATTCACTAAAATTGTAACTAACTTTTTATTATTTATTAATTCCTTTTTGATATTCAGCAATAACAAGATGGAAAAAAATTATAAACCAAAATTAGTAATATTTTTATGAATGCAGTTATAAAAGTTCACAGAGGAAACGCCGGAAAACAATGTATTGACAACAACATAAAATTTATGGCAATTTAGATGTCAGCAGAATAATAACTACGATAAAAAATCATGAGAGAGTGTGCGAGAAACGGTCAACAAATTTCTTATAAAATATTTTAATTTTTGCTGGGTATAAATGAAAACTCAATGAGTATTAAGGAAAAGAAAAATTTGAAAATAATAAACAGAAAAAGAGATGGGTGCACAAAAACTTTAGTTAAATGTTTTTCCCAAACTCTTAAAAAGTAAGCAAATCGATTTTTTTAATGTTACTTTACATCTATTTTCTTTTTTATGAATAAGGTCATAAGCATGTACCGTTTTTATAAATAAATCTTACAGCAATATGCTATATATTTATTTATACACTTTTTGGCTGGCGAAATATGTAATTTTTCAACTTAATAGAAAAGCGTATTTAACCACATTACTTTTTTTTTAATATTGAATGGCGCAACACAACAACTCTTTTTGTTGCATGAAACCCTTGAATACGTGCCTGTCATCTATTTCTTCTGTTTCGACATTTCGGTATTTTGCATTTCTTTCATTTTGACGTCATTCGCATTGTCAGATTTTTGAAATTCGTTTTGGTTCGACATTCTGCTATTTCATAATTCTTTCATTCGCATGTCATCCATCTTCCATTTATTACCTTCCATTGCCGTTCGCATCGTCGAACGTGCCTGTCAAACACTGCCGCCATCATGCTTTTCAGTTTGGCAGGCACGTCCGCTGTTTGGCAGGCAAGTCCGCTGTTAGAAAGAGAATAGACAAAAAGGGGCATAGGATTTCATACTTGTAAGTATATACGACGCTTCGAAACTAGAAGCTTATTTTTTTGTTAAATGTGCTTTAAAAAGGACCTACTGCCAATAAAGCCTTGTGGATTGCTATTTTTCCATATTTGTAATGCTTCCATTTAAACATCTTTGTGGAAAAACAGTTTTTTGTTCAGAATTGCTTGTTTACGAAACGTTTGGCATAACTTGAAATTATAGGGATGCCGTTTTCTTCCGTTTCTCAGTGGATTTTATACTTGAAAAGGCACCAAAATATGTATGCAATACTTCTACATATCTTCGTTTAAAGCACAAAACCGCGCATCAAGGAAATGCAAAACCTCGTATGGGAGGTTGCCTACATTTTATAGGAGAGAGTGAAACTGGTCCCAATTTAAAACGGTTCTCTCTTTTAAACTTAATAATCTTCTCTCCTTATGTCTAAGTCGATATTTTATTATATCGATATTTTATTATAAATGGCTAAGGGCTTGATGTCAGGAGCTTCCGATGACCAAATATCTTTTTTGGCACAAATTTCACTTCCGAGGTTTTGCTGAACCACGATACGCGCTTTTGTACTTTAAACGACGAATATGTATATCGCTTGAACAGTATGTTAGTGTTTGGCCTAGCTTCTCCTCCGATATGCGGCGTGCGTGATTTTGTCACACAAAGTAAAGGACAGTTTTACGCCGACTCCGAACGGCAATTGTATTTTAATGAGAAGTTATTTCCATGACAGAATACACTCGGAGGTTTACTATTACCAACAGAGGGGCAATCACTATTAGAAAAACTGGGCTTGAACTCAGGCTCTGCGTAATGCTCTACAGCAGCCGCCACTACTTTTACATATATTGCTGGTATATTCAAAATACTATCCCGAACTTCGGAGTGTATATACATATGTAATATAAAAAAGAATGAGAGGTACTATAAGAAAACGTACCCAAAATTCTGGAGCAAATGAAAAAATGCTCATTGAAAATAGTTCACATGTATAAATAGAAAGATATAACTTAATAGGTTACAGCGCTAAACAAAAGGAAAAGTTCGAAAAAATAGCAATGCGGTTTGAAGGAAACATGAAGCCATAAAATGCTGGTTTGTTTCGTTAATACTCTGGACTTTGTAAGATATGGCACTATATTATTTGCAGTAGTTTGCAAATATTCACTAATGGTTCTAAAATCGCAAACATTTTCGTGGGATGTTTTTGTTTGATTTCGAATTGAAAATACATTACGATCATATTGTACCGAAATAAGTGCGGTATTCCTGCATTTTTGTAAAAGCCAGAAAGAAGCATAAACTGTATGAAAAAATGAAAGGGAGAAGTATACATGCCTTCTATAATTTTGACTTATATGTATATTTGGCAAGTGTTTGTGTAAACAACCAAAAATACAAATTTTCATTTCTTTGCCAGCTTGGAAAATATAGGCTTATTTTTACTTAAACGTGATATAAAGCTCATTAAAATGTTCTGTAATGTCTTGTTGTAAGTTTGTTATCACAGTTCTTCGTATTTTTATTGTCCACTAAACGTGAGTGGCTTCAATTTAAAAAATTCTAGTACAAAGAATTTCTTTGTTTTGAATTTGTTTGTTTATTGTTTTTAATTTTTAAAATTCATACTTTTGACATGAATGTGAATGGCGGAGTTGCCGCTTTCCTCCTTTTCGGTGGGTTTTTATATTAAAAAGGCATCAAAATGGGAAAAACCCCCCTTGGTATCTCTCCATCTGTAAAACTTTTTATGGGAAGATGTATGAAAATTCAACTTGCTATAATTTCATATGCTTAACAGTATCACAACAGTATGTTTACAGTATCTCCCCATAACTTTTCATATGAAAAAATTTATTATATGCATCCCACTCAATATCATTGAATTCCTCATTAGAACATGTAGTCCCTCTATTTTAGCGTATCAACAGTTCATATGGTTTCATACCATGTAAATGCGCCGTAAGTAATTATTTACTGGATTAGTAATTTTTTGGAACTTACTGACAACTTTAGAAATTAAAAAATATCTCTTCATTGTAAACTAGCAGACCCGGCGAACTTCGTACCTCCAAAAATTGTTTTTTTTTTATTGAAAGATTTTGGTCCATGTTTTTTCTGGTTTCTTTTCAAGCCTGAGGTCAAGTTTTTATTTTTGTTTTACGAGTGTCCGATATTTCGGTTCTCAACGAAAGCCATCTTCAGGCACTCTAAATACAAAAACACTTAGAATACAACAAATTTCAACAAAAAGGCAAATCGACTTACATTAAAAGAAAAACTTAAAACCAAAACTAACATAAAGCACAAGATCCAAGATTTTCTCAACAATTCACGGTCACGATTTATATGCTCATATTATGGTTTGGTGGTCGGAAGGTATACTTCCAAGGCAGTCTAAAATAAGACAACGAAATTGTAATGTCCGCGAAAAAGTTCTTGGAATTTCCCCCAATGATCTGGCGTTTCACATCACGGTAAATCGCACAGCGAAATAAATTTGAAGAATTTTTTCCTCTTCACTCCCTGGCGACATCAATCATCCGGTTCAATGTTATAATTGAATAAATAAACAAAAATAAATGAAGATTCTATTGGCCGTGAGACTGGAACCTACCACCTCGCGGATCGTAAATCCGCATTGCTGCCGTATGTCAAGGCACAATTTTCATTAGATCAATTGTGCTGTTAATCCGGATCAAGGTTGCCCTCTACGCTTTAAGGGAGAATCTCGAAAACTACTCAACGGATTTGGACGAGATTTTCTCTAATATGTTCTGTATCAACAGGAGAGTGACCTTTGGCATTTTTAATTTCTACAGCGTTGCCACCTGTCTAAAAATTATAAGACCCGCACCGTAAATTGGATTACAAGAAATTAGGTGTCAAATGAAACGGTTTGGCCTCTACATAAGCATACATGTTTTTTTTTTTTAAATAGGGTTTCCAACTGTTAAGAAAATTACTATATTCAATCTTAATAAGCGCAGATATCAGCTCTGCACCGTCACGGTCAAAGTCTTTTCAGACTTAGCCTCGGGATGTGGGATAATGTATCATTTTTTTCTAGTAGGGTTGCCACATTTTTACGAACGATAAGATCTTCACCATTCATTGAACTTAAAATGAGGTGCCAAGTAAAACAATGTGGTTTCCAGATGTGCAATAAGCTTTTACTTTTTTTGAGTGGCATCTTTTGTTAATGACATCAGATTTGAACAGTTCATTAATTATAAAAAACAAGGTGTCCAGCCAAAGAGCTTCACCTCCAGATGTTCAATAAACGCAACACTATGAAAAATTTTTATTTTAACATAAAACGCACTACTATGAAAAATATTTGTTTTTATTTCTGTAAATAACATAATTTAAATAATTAAAATGATGCCCATATCTTATTACATTTAACGAGTGATTCTTGCGTATAAATATATATATATATATCCATAGGTTTCTTGGAATCTGCTCTAAAAATTTGGATGAAATTTTGTATACAGATAATTTTTTGCATCTTTGGTTATCTAGATAGATTGTTGCCGATTGTGAGATATGTATGTATGTATATGCATTAGCCTAAGTACCACCAGGTTGACCGATTCATCGTAAAAATGAAACTCCTAATTATAAGCGACCTGAAGATCGCCCTAACCTGAAAGGTGTTGCGGTTAAACCCCAATCATAGCTTTCAAGGTCGCATGAAAGACAACGGTATTAGTTAAGTAGATCAAACAGCTTTTATGGGGAAAAATTAACAGTAAAGAGTAAATTCTCGATATTAAATGTTCATGTTATTTGCAAGATAAAAATTTATTTTGAGCAAAATGGAATCCCCTAATCGACAGAGATAACAAATTGGGTCACACTAGCAACCTGCTCTAATGAACTTTGGTTACAAATAGCTCTACCAAATAGTATGTATCACGATAGTCTCAAAATTCACTCTTAAACATTCATGCAGGCGCTCTTACGTTCAGATACAAAGTAAAGAATTCACTGCCAAAAAAATGTATTGTGCAGCAATTTAATGCACTCACAATCCTTCATTTCTCATTCTGTTTCTCCATTATGCCCAGTTTACTTTCTTTAGTTATGTATATACATACATATGTACTAAGTACACAACTTTTACTTAAGGTTTTACGCTGAATGCCGCAAGAGTTCAGTGTGGCTGGTACCACCGGCAGACGCGCATCAATTTAGCTGAACATCGTTTTGCAGTGCCGACGAACAATACAAGGCGTGTGCGCGATACCCAACTGATCTAAAAAAAAAAGGGAAAAACGAACAAAATATTTTAAATAAATATTTTTATAAATAGAACGAAACAAAAAAAAATGTTCTTTTGTCCTTTACATCGTTACCTGCAGCCGCTTATTGGCGTGCCATCAAAGTATCTTTCACCTCGCTTGTACGCACGGCCGCTGACTACAAGCAGCGCTACGCTGGCGCAACAGGTAAGAACTTGATCGCAAATGTACTTAACGGTTACGCAAAAAACTGGAATATGGACAATGCAGAAATACATATTTACAAACATTAGGGCGGGTGTATTTGTGTGGGAGATTTTTTCGACTATGTTGTTAGGGTGTACAAATACTCTACTTTAAATAAAAAAGAAGCATGCTAATAAGGGTGTTTTTGTTATGAAGAATCCATTCCTAGAGCCATATTTTTTTTTTAAACATCCGCCAAAGGAGGCAACATAACTATTTCTTCAAGCTGCAGTCGGTAGCATAATGCGTGTGAGCGAGAAACGGCAGTAAAAGTGAAATTGTTATTCTTAATACCATAGAGTCGTATCATTATCAGAAGATAAGTGACTTAATAAATACTAGTATTTAGAATAAAAATTGAAATTGAAATAGAAATAAGTCTATTAAATTTTAGTTTCACACGAAAAAAAAACAAATAATTTAAGAAAACCGAACCGACTCGTATACAAATTTAGGATTACCGTTAGTTTTTTCGTGATCCAATGCCCGGAACTAACACGTTATAGAAAACGGTTAACGTGGTCCAAATTTAACCAGTATCATAAATAAAATAATATTCCGACGAATTGATAACCTCCTTTTTTTTTAGAGGTCGGTTCAAAATCCAGGAAGAGTATAAGCATATCGTTCATTTACTTCAGTCGGTTT